TCATACCTTCTCTTAGTTCCACCATGACGCAAGGTAAAATCCTCTCAATCCAAAGAACCGCTTTTCATTGATTAGCGTATAGTAATGTTTTGATCGTATATAAATTTAACTAATCAGAGAGTGAGATTATGAGAGATAGGTAGTTGTTGAAGTATACACTGGTTCCAACCTATAATTGTTATTGATTTTTTTCTAATCATTTTTTTTATTTGTTCGGCTTATAGATTAAGTCGAGCGATTGACATTTATACACTGTCATGAAAATGGAAAGATTTGGATGATAAGGTTCAAGCGAAGCAGCTCGTTTGAGTCCTATTTCTTATTCCTTCTGGGTATTTTCAGGTACATTCACTCTGTCTAACCTCGGAATGTTTGGTGTTGATCGGTTTGTTGCAATTCTTCCCCCTGGAACTGTAAGTGCTTTCCCCTTTAGGTATTAGTTCACATTCTATCTTAGTTTTTCAAACTATTAAGCCAAGACATTCTGATAAGGTATAACATATCGTTCATTGGCTGTAGGTAGGAGCATCACAACCTGGCTACAAGTGGTTGCTACTAAAGACGGCTGCATTGGCATGAAAATCAGATGTAGGTAACTCTTATGACCAACCATCGCTTGACTTGTTACTGATGACTGGTCACTTGCAAACCCACAGGTGAGTGATCATCGTGTCATCTATGGTAACTTACATTCTAGGGCCAAAGTACTGCTTTTTGCAACCAATTTGCCTCCATCTTGCAAAAATTGGCCGGCAGATCATCTTTTGTATTCCCTGCTTTTGATTTCATGGGAGCTTGTATTTATACGGTAATCAATTTTGTTGATAGAATCAACCTTTTAAGAGTAATGTTGAACATAATCATTTATATGTTTGAGCTATCTTCTGCAACATTTGGCGCATTGAAAGGTTCCCACATGACTTTGTTGTTGATTTCTCAATACACATATATCCATATTTGATTTCTATCATCTGTAGCCATCTTGTAATTACTAGGTTTCACATTCATCTGATATGGACTTATTTAAACTACAAAATTTGAATGCATTGGACACTTCTTGTTTCTGAGCATCTCAAAAATGGAGATGCAGATAAATAGGCTTCCAGAGAAAACCTTTCTTTCTTTGCTGCTTATATATATACAGCAAGAAGCAAAAATAGTACACATCATCCGATACATATACTTAGAGTCTTGTCAGCATTCGTAGGACAGTCTTCATCTTTGGCCTTCCCCCAGGAGAGATGTTTATGCAGGCAAGTGCAATACTGAGGGCACTCTTAGGTCAAGAATGTTGTTGCGCTGCCCTTGGTGGCTCGAATGACTCTGCACCCACTTGGCTAACTCTCTTCCTTCGCTGACCGATAGCTTTCCCGTTAACAAATCCAAAAGAATCACCCAAAATATGTAGACATTCCCAGCCATTGTCACCCTCATCGTGTAAGCATACTCTGATCAAAAGTTAAAAAGATCGAGAGAAGCCTCATGTTTCTCATACAGAGATAAATATGGATTTTGTAGTATATGCTCACCTGGTGGAATGTAGCTGATGGTGCCTGCAACTGCCGAGAGGCTGCTATTTCTTCTGGAAGGATCGATTACCTTGAACAGTTCAATGTCCTCTACTTGAGGTTCAGTGAGACACTTGAGCATTATCTTTTTACTAGAGATATCTGGTACGAGGATTGGATCACAGCTGTTGGATTTGGATCCATGCAAGTAGCAGATTCCTTGAGCTATACCAACTTCTCTACTGTACATGCTTGTCCAATCAATCACATCTCTGGGATGGTTGTGTAAAACATCGTAAATAGTGTGAGTGTGAGAAAATTCATAGAAGAGCAAGACTCCTTGTGAATAGAGCACATAAGCTAGTGGGACCATTACGTTTGGGTGATGCATCTTGCCCAACATCTCTAGGTCTAGCTCTAGTTGCTCACTGCTGGCTTGCTGGAAAATCCTATCTCTTGTGTTGAGCTTTTTGATGAAGTAACTTGAACCAGAGGGCTTGACTACTCTGAAGTAACTCCAGAAAATTGTCTAGAACAGAGCATTCTCTGGATGAGCAACAGCTTCCACAGCTTTGGCAAAGTTGATGTTTGATTTGTGTAGAGCGTTTGAAGTGAGAAGCTTGCCATGATTGACCTCGGGAAGAACAGTTGAATCTTCTTCGTCGTCAGGGTCGACTTGCATGATGTTAACCCCCTTCAAACGCCTTGAGAGTTTCAGCATGATGACAATTATGATCACTGCCACAAGAGAAATTATTCCAATGGCAACAAGGGTTACGATCAGAACTAGTTTGCTCTCTCCGGATGGCCTTGTTTGGATAAAGACTCTATCATCAACCGTGATCCCAGAGTTTCCAGTGACATCGATTGAGACATTGTGGGTGAACTTAGGAGTATTTCCAATAAGCTGGTTGTTGGATAGTATCAGCTGTCTAAGGGATATTAAATTGGTGAGCGAATCAGGGATCTCACCAGAGAATTTGTTATTTGAAAGATCAAGAACTTCCAAACGGTCAAGTTGAGAAAACGTTGAAGGGATAGGTCCGTCGAACAAGTTAGTGCTGAGATTTAAGGAAATCTGCAAATTTGGTGGCATTATTGGAATCCTCCCTCTAAGCTGGTTTTGACCAAGCTTGAGTGCTATGAACAGAACTATTCAGATCTGCAATGCTGTCAGGTATAGTGCCACTTAGATTATTTCCTAGTAACTTCATGTTGGAAAGCTCCGCTAAGTTCGAAAAAGAAGACGGTATAGATCCGCTTAGAGCATTCCAGCTGATGTCAAGAATCAAGAGTTTACTTAACAATCCGATCTCATCTGGGATTTCTCCGGTAAGCTTGTTCTGCTGCAGCTTCATCACTTGTAGTGAGGCGATGTTTCCAAGTGCAGGAGGTAAAATTCCGGTGAACTCGTTCATTTCCAAGTTAAGGAGATTCAAACTCAGAAGGTTTCCAAATGCAGGAGGTATGTGGTCGGTTAATTTGTTGTTGTCCATCTCCAGATAGGTTAGGTTCTGCAGTGATTCAATTGCAGCTGAAGGCACAAACCCTGTTAGCTTATTGCTTCCTAGTCTCAGCCTAACTAGGCTATTCGAAAGGCTTTGCGGTAACCATCCAACAAAATGATTATATGACAAATCCACAGAGACAAGTTTAGGCTGCGACAACAAGTCAGCTGGAATTGACCCGTTTAGAAGGTTGAAGCTCAGGTCTAAGTTCTCAAGGTGTTTTGTGATCCCTGGTGGAATGGTTCGGGTGAAATTGCTACGGTTCACAGCAAATCTACTCAAGGTTTGGATTTTTGAAAGTGATTCTGGAAATTTTCCATTAAGATGGTTGTTGGATAGAAGTAAACTTTCTAACTTGGAGAGGTTTCCCAAGGAACTGGGGAGTCGACTATTAAGGTGATTATCACTGAGATCAATCAACCTTAGCTCTTGATAATCTTCGATGCCCTCAGGGATACTTCCGCTCAGTAAATTATCTGAAACCTCGAGATTCACCAGACTTTTGGCCAAATTGGTCGGAACAGGACTAGCTAGCTTGTTGAAGTTGAGAGACAGGTTTGTCAACTGAACCAAAGCATCAAAACCATAGTCCCTAAAGTTCCCACTCAACCTATTGTGAGAGATATCAAGAAGTTGGTTCCTGCTTAAGTTCAGCTGCTTCAACCCAACTAGTGTTCCGCAATTTGTCATGAATCCATTGGGGATTGAGCTCAAGCTGTTGTTAGAGACATCAAGAGACTCCAGTGTCTAGATTTGGCAAACAAGAGGTAGAAATGAAGAATTGGAGATATCGAAGCCATAGAGAGATAAGCTTATCACAGAGATATTGTCTGGTCGGCTGCAAACAACACCGTCCCATAAACATGGATTCCTCTCAGAACCAGAAAGATTCCAGGCTGAGGTATTAAGGAATCTAGAGAGTTCGATCATTGTGTTTGTCTGGGTTGAAGAAAGCTCAGGAAAACAAACATGAAACAAGACATGAAGATGAAGAAGAAGAAGAAGAAGAGACAAAACATGGACTTGCATGTTTCTGGAGGAACTTGTATCTTCATCATCTTCTTTCGACGCCAGTGATCCGATTCTTTTTCAGGAAAAAGATAGGAAAGGTTAATGAAAAGAAAACAGAACGCTGAGAAAAGTCGATGAAGTGTGGGGAAAATGGTCTGGGCACTGTCACAGTGGCGTGTTTATTAGGTTGAAGGACGTTGACTGATATTTTTTATGACACAGACTTTTAACAAGTTCTTTTGTTCTTGTGTTCTACCATGACAGTTTCTCCTATCACTGTTTGGCTCTCATTTGTTGACCATTTCAGTTTATTTATTATTTCCGACAGTAAATGTAAAGAATTCTAATCATTGGACCCTCTAAAGAAAATGGAACTAATAAATTAAAGCATATAGGAAATCACCAAATCCTGGATAGTACTGCAGAATGCCACACCATTTTGTTGATCTTTTTTTTTTAACTCAACATCCACTTTTCATTAACCAAAGAAGGGTACACATGATTTTACACCACAATAGTGTTTCAACCACACTTACAACAAAGAGATTAGTATCATCTAGAATCACTACATGGATCCTACACTCCAATCTAAACCTTTGTTGCAATTTTAACCCCAATGAACACGACACTCTTCTTACAACACAAGAAGAGCCGGTTCTTAGACCACCTAATTTAACCACATGAGACAAAAACATCATACACCATACACCATTGATGATACAGTAACCAAGTTACATCTTTGATCTTAGCATTGGTCTCTTTAAGGTAAGCGTGGAGCACGGGACCAACACTTCTCACCTTTCGGTGCGTTCTTGGTTAGATTCATCACCTCCGGTTTCGATGCTCCGCTCCTATCCTAAAAACGGAACAGCTCCGTACTGAACGGCGGGTCTGAAACATAATTACCTTGAAGTGCAACGATGATATTGAAACTGTAGAACTAAGAGATTCAGCCGGCTCCAACAAAATTTCCAGCCTATTAACCTCCAAAATGTGTGATTTCAGCTCATGGACTAACATGATCTCACCTAGACGGCGCATTTCGACCAAAAGCTCCTGCCCTCCAGCCAGCACCACCTGACCCTAAGCCATAAGCCGAACAAGACTGTCCGGAATGAAAGTCGGGCCTTGATATCGGTTAGCGTTACAAGGATTCCAATTCACAGCTTCAAAGAGAGCAGAGATCGTAATATTGGACCAGCCATGTGCTGAATCCGGATCCGATAAGCACTTCTCCGCCACACATCTCCGGAAAGGACCTTTTCTATGGAGTATAAGTCCGTCGTCTACAATCTGTGCCGCGCATCGATCTCGAGAATCGAAGACCAAAACTCTTTTCGCCGCTCTTCGTCTTCTTCCTCCTACCGTCACACCTCAGCTGGCAACGGGTAGATCCGAGATGGAGGAGCTGTCTCGCCTAGTCACGCGCCGACATCAAAAAGCTTTAACCGGAGATCTCAAAAAGAGAAAATCAGATCTGGCGAAGCTAAACCCTAAATGCCGACCCACGTCTCTGCCATAACGCCTTTGGTCTCACCGTCCCTCCATAAGAAGCCCGAAGTCAATCTCCCCCGTCGCGAACGAGTTTCAAGAATGACCATGGCAGCACAGAAGGACTAGTATATCTACCAAAAGAGAGATAGAGAGCAAAGAAAAAAAACAAGAAAGGGAAGAAGAGGTGTTGCCTCCGGTGCCGATTGAACGGCCGCCGGAGTTAGGGTTAATCTTGAACGGTGTCTACACGGGGAGAGAGCTTTTGGATAAAACGCGTTGATTGTTTTTTTCTGTTTCTTAGTCTCTCGGTTCTCCACCATTTTGTTGATCTTGTTCTTAGAAAATGCAATGTGCCAGTGGGTAAAATTATTATTCACCTCAATATTCAATTAGTTAACAACAGTGCATATTAGATACATTTGAGTTTATTGATCTCTCTGTTGGATTATATGGTTAAGGTGATTAGGAGAGGATCACAGTAGTTAGAATTTGAATAAAAGATCTGACTTGAAAGGTGGTTTGATGCACAAGGTTGTTAGAATACAAGGGCATGAAGCAGACGATGTGGTGGTTACGCTGATGGAACAAGCCGTGCAAAGAGGATCTTAAAGTTATTTTGCATGCATTTTTGGTTCTTGGCTATATGAATATTGGTGATAGGATGTATAATTGGTGATGTAGTCGACAGAGTCACTGGGTTTCAGCATGTGTTTGGAAGGAAAACAGCCATGAAACTTGTGAGAAGAGATGGTTCTCTGGAGAGTTTACTAAGCGCGGCAGCTATAAGAACCGTAGGAAGACCATATGCTGAGAAGAAACTATCAAGTTCTTGCCTTGAAAAAGTACCGTTCATCTATAGATTATTATGCATCTCTTGTAAGACATTGTTACTTATTAGTAAAAAAAAAATTATCATAGAGATGTGAGGGTACAGATTCAAGAGGAATGGCTGGTGGACAGAGATACAAGCAATGTCATTGTAGTTGCTTACTTTTAGTTAACGGTGTAACTTCAATTTAACTATATCAAATTTGTTGGTATTACATAAATTTCAAAGAGTTATTGGTTATCGTTTTCTAAAATTCTGTTGGTTCCACCAATGTGAAGCATTAACGGTAAGAAAAAAAAAATAGAATCTAAATTTCTTATATTACATCCTTAAGAAAAGGAAATCCACTTTATGCTTTCCTCCTGATATTATTCTAGAAAAATAACATATAGCTAGAGCACCTTAGATAGCTTTAACATATATGGCAAATGCTTTAGAGGCTAGTATTTGAAACGGATCCACCACCACCATTCCTGGGCGAGAAACCACACGCACTTGAAATAAGCATTTGAAATGAACTCTCAGAATCGTCAAACATAGGTCGTGGGAACTCATGGAAACCTCCAAAGTTGCATGTATCAAAGCACAGCGGCGAGAACGACTCCTCGAAACTCATCTTCCCATCCATGAATCCAGGCTGTGGGCTTTCTTGATTTGCAGAACCAAGATTGAAACCAACCATTCCTGTGTTGTTCTCGCAAGCAGAGCTCCCTCTCTGCGCTGAAGGCTTTGACTCTTCAAGTGGGATGGCAGGCGTGTGTCCTTGGAACAGAGTAATGTGACCAAACAACTTGTCCTTCCTTGAAAATGTTGTCCCACATGAACATAACCACTTGTTTTTTCCGCAGTGTTTCTCGTGTGTTTTGAGGTCCGCAATGACAGAGAATTTCTTGGTATGGCATCGGCTGCAAGTAAAGCTTTTGTCGCAGTGGGTGCGTTTATAGTGGTTCTTCACGCATAGTATCGTCTTCAAAGGCTGGAACTTTTTGTGATCCTTGTTACGTTTGCAACCCGGGAATGGGCAGGAGTACCTTTTGATCAGCGTCGGCTCAGACCCGGGTACGGCTTCTTTGTTGGGTTTAGCCAGAGCGGCTGGAGTTTTGTACTCATCTCCGTGCCCTCTCATGTGCATCCTCAGGTTGGCGTCTCTCTTGAAACCCTTGCCACATATGGTGCAGAAGTGAGTGTGCGGCGCGAGAATCTCCTCCTTCTCAAGCTGCAATATCTCGTAAGAACCGGGTGGAAGGTTCTCTCCTTCCTCCACATCATCTTCGTCCTTCATTTCATGTTCTTCTACAACATGGCTTTCCCTCTCTTGAACAATAGTGGGCTTAGGCAAATCGAAATCTTGTGCAAGGTTGTTGTTGCTGTTGTTGTTTAAGGTCTGTGAAGCAAGGTTATTAGCCTCCCTTGGATAAGGGAACAAGGCTGAACCGGGGGCTGTAGACATATTATGCTTAACAGATGGAAGAAGACTACCTGCAGTTGAAATCAGCTGTATGATTATGGAAGTAAGATCAGTCGTTATATGCTGCTGCTGCTGCTGGTCTTGACGACCTCCACCAACGATCAGATGAACAAGATCCTGCAGCTCGTGAATCTTCTCTTCCATAAAAGATAAGTTGCTCAGCATCGTCCTGGGATCCCAGGCTTGAGCCCTGACGCCTTGGAGGAAATCAACATTAACTTGACCACCGTTGTTGTTGTTGTTGTGTTCTTGGCCTGAAGAAGCTTTCATGTGGTCGAAAACTTGCAAAGCAGGCTCCTCCTCCATACCCATCTCGTAATCCAAGATGGAAGCATCTTCCCACTTGTGCTGAGACGTGAAGCATACCGGCTCACGCAATTTGGAAGAAGAAGAGTTTCCCCAGTTGTTCTGACACAGATCATCTTCTGTTTCCATTTTTCTTCTGGTCACCCTAAGGATCATCAAAATCAATACAAGGAACAACTTAGAAATGAAAAGTTAAGACCAAGAAATCTTGTTATCAGAGTCAGAGTTAGGACCCAGCTCAAATTATATTACACAGAGAATCAAACCAAACTTTACCTGTCAAATATTTCCAAGAAAGTTATCTTCTCGCACGAATCTCAAGATCTGAAAAACGATGATAAGCTTACGCGTAACATAAAATACACAAGAAAACAAAAAGAAAAAAACATACATGGTCAAACAAAAAAAATAAATCCTAACTTCCATCGAATGGATCCATCACTCGTGGACAATAAGTTACACAGATGAAAATACCGAAATCATATAACTTTAACACGATCAAAGCACAAGGCTTCACGAATCGAATCGGTTCAAAACACTATTAGATAACAGGAAAGTAAAAATAAAATAAAATAAAAAGATTGAAAGAGAGAGATTCACCACAAGTATAGCCTAAAATGGTTCCTAGAGACCTCTAATGGCTGCTTTACAGGATCGATCGAGAGAGAGAGGGAAGCAGAGCTCCTCCCGTGTTTTTATTAGCGAAAATCTCCTTTCACTTTCTGATTTTACTCCTAGTAAAGTCAACGCACTAATCTCAGCCGTTGATATGTATTCTTATGAGCATCCGCCAGATCTGGCGGCTAAAAAGTGTGTTATCGCATCAAAAACAGTGACACTACAACCGGAGCCGTTGATTTATGGGATAGTAAAGATAGACGAGACGATGGAGAAACAGTGATGGGGTCCACTCAGCAACTATTCCTATGTAACATTATTTTAATACTTTAGATGGCTTTCGCGTTTTCAAGGCTACAAACAGTTTTTTTTTCTTAGCACCAAGCAACAAAATGTTTAAAAATAAAATAAATATAAACTACCATTTTTATGTACTAGCCAGTGCATATTTTCCAAATTAAATATGCGTAATGTAGTTAATATATATATTTTCAAAAGAGATATATGATTTATAATTATTTTACAAATAGATTTAAATTCTCAATAAATGTAAATTGTTCAGACGATTATTTAAAAATTAGATGTTGTACATTAAACTTTTATTATGAGAAATTGTCTAAATTAGCATTTTCTTAATATTTTTATATTTATTTTAACCAAATTTATATTTAGTTGTAAAGAGGTAAATATGCAATTATAATCCAGGGTTAACTAATCTAGATTTATGGTTTAGATTTGAGGAATGGATTTCGGAGGATAAGATTTAGAATTTTAATAAAAATATAAATAAATATTTAAAATAAAAAAAGTTTCAAAATATATTTTCCACTTTGAAAAAAAATATTTGAAATTCTTTTAAAAACAGAATTCAAAAAATAAAATAAAATTTTCGAATTTAAAAATTTACAATTCGAAAACTTAAAAACTAATGTTTATTTTAATTAATTATTTATTTAAATAATTATATATATATATATATATATATATATTTATAAATCAAGGGTATAAATTTTTTTGTTTATTAACAAAGTTCATACTTAAGTATTTTTGAAAATATCTATTTATAAAAGTTAAACATGAACAATGGTATCAAATTAAAGGTAAAAATAATGTTTATTTTGGTTTAAAGTTTATTTTTTTATTTTTTTTAAACTCATCAAATAAATAAAAACAAAATTATTATCAGTCAAACTAACACAAATCTTAAAACTTATCTATATAACAAAAATTAAGCAAATATTGATTATATAATTTTTCTTCTAATACATAGTAAAGTTTTTTTATCAATTAAAAAAAGACTCTAAACAGACTCTGTGAACAATCTCGGTAACTCTTTATCCATATAAATGAAGAAAGACGATTGCTTCTTGGTACTGCGTGCCAGTCTGTCCGCCTTTTGATTCAGTATTCTTGAAATATGAATGATTGTTCAGTGCGTAAAACTTTTTTGAAGGATTTTACTATCGTCTAGATAATGTGCGAAAGCTGGCTATTCTTTTGGTGTTGAAACCACCTTCATCAATTGAATACAATTTATTGCAAACGTTACATGATACTGACGTAAATTCCTCATGGTCTCCATTGTCTAAATGAGCGCTTCAATTTCTGAATGTAATGGCAAAATATTTGCTCTCATGTTCCTTGCTCTCATAAGACTCGCAAAGCCCGACAGCATGTTGTACCAACCTTGTCACAAGAAAAAATCTTTAGTTTTCCAAGAACCATCCGTGAAACACCATCGCCCTGGAATTGAGGATAATAAGGGCTCTTGTGATTGTCGCAATTGGTCAGTTCCACTATTGACCTTAATCTGAGCCTCAGCTCAAGGTAAATATTTCGTCTCTGCTAATTCCAGGGTGTCTCTTAGATCTACATCAATATTATTAAAGACCTTATTATTCCATCCTTTCCAGATGTACCATAGAATCCATGCGAACGGATGGCCCTCCATAATTGGGGATGTTCGCTAGTAAAGATAGTTCATATCAATGAATAGTGCATGTGAAGGAAAAATGTTTGGATGTGATGATACTCTTGAAAGAGCCCATACTTGGACCGTCAGAAGATATTCAAAGAATACATGATTAATCAATTCTTTGCTAGCCACACATCTTGAGCACTGCACATTTCCTTGCATACCTCGACTGCGCAAGTTTTCCTTTACGGAGATACAACCCAAGACCAACTATCATAGAAAATGTTTCATCTTTTGTGAGCATTGAGTCTTCCAAGCTTGAGTTTTTAGCACAGTGACTGTGGGTCCATATATAGGTAATGATCTCTCACTGTCTGGATAAATCCTCTCCACCTGATAACCTGATTTTACCGTATATCTCCTATTGAGGGTGAAATGTCATCCATCTTGATATGTTTATCTATTCCTACTTAACGGTATGCTTCCAATAGTCTTGCCATCCTCTGGATCCACCAATGCCCGTATGACCTAAAAAATCCATGTTCGTGATGTTGGGTTGATTAGAGAATCAACCGTGAGATGTAGGGAGAGATTATTATTGTGATGATTACTATTTGCTGGTCTCGGACGAGTGGTTGGGAGACATGGGTTATTCCATACTGATATAGATGAGCATGATCCCACCCTTTTGATTAGTCATTTGCTAACCAGGGATCTAGCAGATACCATACTGTGCCATCCATATGATGGAGAATATGATCGGATCGGTTCCAGAGGTGAAACATTTCTGAAATATCGACATTTGAAGACACGAGAAAATAAAGTATTGAGTTTCTCGATCATACGCCAAAATTGTTTGGCTAACATAGCCGTATTAAAATCCGATAAATCTTTGAAGTCCAGTCCTCCTTCATTTTTTCCCATACAGATTTTTATCCCAGAATTTTTATTGCATACCCCTTGTATTTCCTCCAAAGACTCCACCAAACATAGTAAAGTATTTATTCATTTTATTTCCTACTCTATTTCCATGAGCTTCTGCATATTTGACTTGGCAACTAGAAATGGAAAATGTTCTTTAATTAAAGTCTACAATATTTTTAGTTACATATTTTTTTATAAGAATTTAATAATTTATATTTAAATATTAATGTAAAAATACAGTTAATATTTTTACTAACTAGACACTCTTTATTAGAATTGGAATTAAATTAAATATTTTTTATTATATCTTATAAATACAAGGTGGTGTCATTAAAATATGTGTTTTACAGTTAATTTTATATATTTATAATCCAATGTTATTCGATGAGTGATTGTAATTTCTATATTAACATATAATATTATTGGTTATTGCATTTAATTTTTTTTTTCTTTTTTATCATTAAGATACGAACTCAACTAAAACTCTGTAAACCATTCTAGTTACTTTCTGTCCATATGAACCACAAAGATCGTCTGTTGTCTGGCGTTCGTGCTAGACTATATGTCCCTAAGTTCTGCATTCTGGGGACATGAATGATTTTCGAGTGACTGAAACTCCTTTTCAATATCTGGATGTCTTCTAGGTAGCTTGCAAAAGCCGGTCACTCTGCTGGTTCTAAAACCATCTTCACCAAATGAGAGCAATCCACTGCAAACGTGATGTGAAGTTGCCCAGTTAAAAGCCTCTACTTCTGAATGTAAAGGTGAGAAACTGGCTCTCGTATTTCTGGAACCCATTAGAGCATCAAAACCTTCCAAAGTGTTGTACCAGCCTTGTCCTGAAAAAATATTTTTGTCCCTCCATGATCCATCTGTGAAACACCATCTTCCCGAAATTTGAGGTAAATCTGACGAAATTGGTGTGCATGTATTGGATATCCAGTGTGAGAGAGCTGTTTGTGCCTCTTTCCAAATTGTTGCTTATGTTTCTGCCAGCTCAATGGTATCTCTGGGGTCAGTATCATTATTGCTAAACATTATGTTATTCCTAGCATTCCAAATGTACCCATAATATCCAATCAAATTGATGATCTTTCATGGGTAGATCAATCCTCTAGAACAAATGATTCATATTTGTGAAGATTGACTGGGTAGGGTAAGAGGATTTGATGGAACCTTTGAAAGAGCCCAAACGTGGACACCCAGTGGACATTCAAAAAAATATATGATTGATTGATTATTTGTCTGCTTCATATCTTGTGTATTGAATATCCCCTTGCAAACCTCTCGTCCTTAAACTTTTCTTAAGCGAAATATAACACGAGAATTTGCCAAAAAAAATGCTTGATCTTTGGCGGACATCTTATTTTCCATATATGCATCTTTAGAGGAATAATATTTGGACCTAATATTGTGGCCGGCTGTTGGATGTCTGAGTAAATTATTTCCACCTGGTAACTAGATACCACCGTATATTTTCCATTTTTAGTAAAATGCCAACCATCTTTATTTTGTCCCTGGAAACTGCTTAAAAGGATACTCTCTATAGTTTTTGCACCGTCCGGGTCCACCAGATCTTGAATCATCTGGGAGTTCCAAGTTCGTGTTGTTGAGTTGATGAGTGAATCCACTGTGAGATCGGGGTGAAGAATTTGTTGATAATTGTTTGTTGGTCTCGAGAGAGTGGTTGGGAGCCAGGGGTCCTTCCATACAGAGATGGAATAGCCTGATCCCACTCTTTTGATTAGTCATTTGCTAATCACATAATTAGCAGAGATAATACTACGTTATCCATATAATGGTGGATATTACCTTATTGGTTCCAAGAGTGATGCGTTCCTGAAATACTGTCGTTTAAACACACGAGAAAACAAAGTCCCGAATTTCTCAATCACTCGTTAAAACTAATTTCCCAACATAGCTGTATGAAAATGTACCAAATCTTTAAACCCCAAGCCACCTTCGTCCTTTGAAATATATAATTTGTCCCATGATTACCAATGCATACCTCGAGTAGTTCTTCCATAGCTCCACCGCAGTAACACTCGTCAACTTATTCGTCACTGTCTTTCGTATATGATAACAGGGCATTACGTGGTTTGGTAATGCCGTGATTACAGATTTAATAATCACCTCCTTTCCTCCCTTTGAGAAGAATTTAAATATCCATTAATTGATTCTATTAGAT